GCCGTGACGACACCATAGGCTCTCGAGTGGAGATGGACCAAACAAAGAAGGTCAAAGACACGAGCAAAGGTGTCGTTGCGCCATTCTACATCGGGGTTTGTGAGACAACAGCGCGGCTGTGGAACGCGTGACTCTCAGCTGTGACGATTCCGCAAGTTGGGCTTCGTAACGGCTCGTACTGCTAAGAACCTGGCTCTCACCCGGTGGTCCCTGATCCCGGCCTCGTCGGGGCTGTTGGTCACGAACGTTAAGAAAAGGCAGGGTTATCAGACGGGAAGGGAGGAACACAGGATAGATCACCGCGAAGAAAAATGTAACTAGCTACTTGGCGATTCCTCCGGCTTGTTCGTCTCCTCAAGAATCATCTCCATCGCCCTTGCTAAAAGTGCTTTGCCCTCATCGCTGTCTAACTCATGAACAGAACACCATCCTTGACCTTCAATAAAAACCGCGCTCGCACCGCAACTTGCTAATTTGACAAATCTTCTGAAGTCTTCCTGCCAAATTCCGCGCATACTTCTTTCCATTTCGGCGCTGATGCTCTTGGGAGCAGGAATGCCCACCCCCGCACCCAGCCTGAAAGGCCCCCAAAAGTTTCTATCTTCGCTGAGCCTTCGGCAGTACCAATAATGGAGTAAAGATGATTCATCTTCGAGGTTGTGGAAATTATCGCGGAGTCTGTTGCCCTGCACGCACGTCCTGCATGTTTCGGTGATAATCTGAAAAGGTTGGACTCCAAGTCGGCAGGGCTGGTTATGGCTGCACTTCTTCTGTTCAACGTCGTTAAGGTGACCGCACCTAATCGAGCCTTGGGTGATAATATGTGATGCCATCGTTTTATTGCAGGTAGTTTGACAACGCCTGTTTGGGCTGCAGAAGACTTGTATTGGTTATGAGTGTGTTTATATGTGGGTCATTCAATGCCTAATATGTGAGAGATCCAGCTTCATAGCTGCCGGCACTCTTTCTGAGCCTACGATTTTAAGAGCTAATACTTCACCTAGAAGCTGTCGTAAGACTTGAAGTCTCATTACTATGCTATGTCGTTGGCGGTATCACCTGCGGCACCCATGCAAGGTGCAGTGCAAGCAGTAAGAGGTCAATCTGGTAAGTTTCGGCTGCTGCAGAGAGCTACTGCATTGACCCACAACGAATGGTTATAATGACTTGAGCTGGCCTCCGCGGTGTGTGTACCTCAGGGGTAAGATATTAGTCCGCGGCGTTGGTGTAGGAATGTGGCTCCCACACCAAGGGGTGCAGAGCCAACGTATAGAACGTACGCCAAGAAGGGTCACGACGCGGCACAAGTCACTTTACGGTGACGCGTAACAGACCCCTACGCGCTTTGTAAACAAAAGGTTTCCTAGCCCGCACCGGTACCTACTTAGGATGAGCTTTCAATACACACCACAAGACTCCTAATGTGCGCATCCACATAACTGTGACAGCCTCCCAGCGCTGAGGCGGGACATAACATCCCGCTGTCATATTAACAGGCATTCATTCAGCCCGAAGGGCCTTTATACCTCATCGCAGTCCTTTTATTCATGTTGGGATGCACTTGAAGATCGCTCAACGCACTTACCGACCACCATCCAGGCCCCAAACGCTGTGAAATGTTACATTAATACAAAGAGTAGGTGAAGAGGTGAAAACAAGAAGTGCGCGAACATGGATCACTACATGTGGTGAGTCCCCTCATCTTAGAGAGCAGGGATCACGGCTTGTGGACGCCGTGGCCCTTGCTCGGGTAACAAAGGATGCTCGTGCAACGATTATGGCAGGATCACAGCCTGTGGTATATTTATTGATAACACGTCATCCCCTCGTACTGTATCTGGCCAATCAATCATCTGATGAGGGACGTACGAGTAAGCTTTCCATGGACTTAATTGAGGCTGAGCGTCCAAGTCGCCGTGACTTCATCCTGAGAGAATGAAACGAACTCGTCCTTCAACCGGCCAAGATCTGTCAGTCAATCGCCCGTGAAATTGAAAGAGTGAGTCGCAAAGACATCAGCCATTCTACTACCTATTAGATGACCAGCGACGAATCAACCCCGCCCTTGGAGCCTAGCGTTCTCCCCACCGCACGTAGGGCAAGTATTTCCTTTGACCTTGCCCGTGTCGCGGCAAGTTTCGCAATCGTACATATTTCCGTATCGGCAAGTGAAGGGCAGAGTGTGTAGTCGTCAATATGATAAAAATCAGGTCAGAGACAGTGTAAAAGATGCTATGCGGAATAACATTCTCAACTATCTGTCGCGATGAAGTCGCCTGTTTATTGATTCCAAATGGACACGTCACGTTAGCCCTCATGTGATCATTCTGCCTTCTGGGCAGCAGCTTTTCGTCACAATGAAACTTTCACGTGACAATAAGCCCCACATCCCATCCACTTGTCCGTTCTACTAGATTCTCTTAGCTTCCAGCCATGGCACGTTAATAGCCCCGTCGACAGCATGGCAAAGAGATCCGTCAGCACCCAAAGTGTACTTGCTCCGCTTTCTTTCTAACGAGCGACGGGTTGAATGCTCATCTAGAGGAGAACCGAGTATGTGGCCTACAGCTAGTCGGTGCCTTGCTAACTTTTCTCCAGTCGCTGGCAGGTTACTTGTCTGCTCGTCTCGAAATATGCAGAAGTCATGCTAAGGCATCCGACGGCGACGATTCACCGACCGGGGACGACGACGAGTTTGGGATAGACAAGGGCAATACGGACAAGCAGCACCGTTGCCCCGTGAGGGGGTGCGATCGCAGAGTCACCCCATTCGCGTCGCGGCAAAGGCTCCGGCGCCATTTCCAACAACGTAAGTGCTCGCTTTCTTTCTATCCGGCGACCAGATTTTTAACACTGTATCCCAGATGTCAAGTGTGACGAGATATGTGTGTGTTGCCATCAGGTGTTGAAACGTGCAAGGGACTATATACGGCATGTCCAACGACACCAGGACCCGAACAAAACGAAGCTTACCTGCCACCGAGACGCGCACGAAAATACCAAGCTTGCATACATAAATCAGATGTGTGACGAGCTGCGTGATCGGGCGGATAAAGAGCTGGAATCTGCAGAGAACAGTTACCATTCGGCCGGCGAAAAATTGACTAAGAAGAGAGCGAGCGACATGGCTGGTCTCGACATCCAAGCCAGAGGATCCCAAATACCCCGGCACAACATCGCTGAAATGATACCCCAGAATCACTCGCAATTTCCATGTGCCAATGGTATTTGCCCTGCCAATCCTTTTCAACTGAGCTGACATAGTGCAAGGTATTCCCACCATCCACGAGCAGCCGTCTGATTCCACTCAACTATCAACAAGCACGATACATCTTGCACCAGGTGCCGAGCCTGTGACAGGTTACTTCGCAACATTAACAGATACACATCTCGCCAAGTCTGTTGAAGGATCAGCCACAATACTGGACGACTTGATATTCGATGCTCCGGTAAATTGTATTGTAAATTTCCCGACTTCATGGAACCATGGGCTGGATTGGCTCAGCAATAGTTTAGGATCCGTGGTACTGGCAGAAGCAGGAGGTCATGGGTCCGAACTTCGGGAGGGTCCTCGAACTCAAAGTTGATTCGAATATTGGAACTCTGCATCCCGGCCACCTTCTCTGCCAAACCAGGAGTATTTGGAAGAGTCATTTTAGTCCAACGCTCGAGTATGTCGACTGTCGCAAACTCGAATGTAATCGCATAGCCTCTCTTAATCTCAAAGCCGATCCGCCCATCGAGGACTGCTCTTTGCAATCCATCAGCATGTGTGGTTGCAACATTGGGAGGTTACTCACATGCCGCCGCTTGGGAACTCTTCCACTTTGCATCTGCAACCCACCTCAACAAGCGCAGATTCCGATAACTCATGCAATAGCCTCTTCCCTTCCGTTGTTGGCAACTCATGTTCGTGCGAATGACTCAGTAGCCAACTTGGGTTCCTTTGGCTAGATGGACCAACAGACGGCGACGACCAGCTTTGGGCCCCACTTCTAAAGCACACAATATGGCCTGGATACGCTTTGTATCTCAGCCAGTGTGCAAGGATGCAGCCTCATCGCCAAAGAATGTTTCGACAATCGAGCGAATGCGCTGGTACGATTAGATACATCTCATTGCACAGGTTATCCTACTCACCTCATTCAAAACGTGTTGCTCGCAAAAGTCGAGACCGTATTCCGAGTTGTACGGGAAACCCTCTTTGCATCTCGAAATGGCCTCCCTAGAGCCGGATCCTGTACATAAGAGAACCCTCTTCCATGAGGGATTTCTTCGCGACCTCCGGCGAGATTCTGGTCGAGGCCATAGACAAATGTAGAAATTCTTGATCAAAAGGGTTGTCGATGATCGGTCGAAAGGCAAAATCGCTTAGTGCAGCCCAGTTGGTAAGCGGGAACCGGCGACCCGACCAGGAAAAGCTGTTTTTCCCATCGCCGTCAGCCCACAGTTAACACCAGTGAGTGTTTAGCCTAACCTGGCAGGGACCACAAGTCGTGGTTATGTACATCCAACAAAGTGGGGCGTGGCACGCGGGTGGGGATTTGTTTTTCCGACTCTCTCGTTGGCCCAAGGATTTCACCGAGTCTCTTGGCTGCGAAGGTTTTAAAACCATTTTTTCCCTTCCTTCCACTCCAACCGATCCAAATGCGCCGTGACGCCCGCGACGCCCGCGACCCGCTTGTCCTACCTCGACCACCACCTGGCAAGGACGAGGCTAGTCGTCATGGCGGACCCAAATTGCTCAAATATCATAAAGGACTACCCCATTGCAAATGGCCTCGACGCTTTCCGTGCTTCGTTTAGTTCGATCTGCGAAGCCAGGCATGTCCCGCGAGGTCCAGACGCGCTAGAGCGTCTTGGTCAAGAAGGTACCTCCCCCGGCTTTTGTTTTCGCTGCAAGGTCTGTCTAACTGCCATATAGACCTCCAGAATATTGTTCTCGACCTTCTCTCTGTTACAGATTCATCCAGCTGCTCGACTGCTCCGTTCTACCGGAGATGGTAAAACCTCTTCGGCGATTTGTTGCAACTCAATTCCGCTGTCAACTCTGGCGAGTTCGACTTCGACCGTATCAAGCCGCTTGTTAAATCGGCCCTCGCCGACATTCCTGATGACATACTCATCTGGATTCATGTCTATCGTGCCGTCACCGAATCTACCCCGCCTCCCCGACCTATATCTTCGTCTATCCAACAAACACCGTGGAGCCAGAATACAAGCGGCTTCGTGAACTCGTCGGAATTCCGCCAGAATGTGGACCCGATCCTCAAGTTGGAGCTCGAACGTCTCTATGTCGGACTTCCCAAGTTCCACCAAACCTTCTTTGCAGACGTGCCAGACCTAGACATGGTTTCTGAGGCCGTCTTCCGCAGGTGTATTGAAGGCGATAATCCACTCTTTAAAGAGGGATGGAGTGGATGGCCTGCAGGCGCCAGAGAAAACGACGTACTGTCTTGGTTTGGCAGCTTAATCCCGAAGCTGGAAGCGTTCGCCAGCAATCGCACTCCGACTCCGGCGCCACGGCGAAAGCTGTTGGCACAGCCGAGGACACCACTGCAGGGCTCCACAGGCAAACGCAGCCTTGATATCGGCTTTGTCAATAGCGACATCACGTACAAGCCTGACTCTGAGGATTCGAGATATCGTTGGTCTCACATCCTTGTTGCTGGCGAACTGAAAAGCAACCCGAAGGCCGACACATCATCAATTGCGTGGATTGATCTCGCAAGGTATGCGAGAGAGGCTCGCCGCTCAAGACACCCGTCGCTTCGTCTTGGGCTTTACTCTGCGGATCTCATATGAGGGTCTGGGAGTTCGACCGACTTGGGGAATCGCCTCCGAACAATTCGACATCAACAAGAAGGATGGTGGGTTACAGTTTGTGACCGCAATCCCGGGTTTCTACGGATGAATGATGAGGTGCTTGGGTTTGACCTACCATTGTCATGTCCAACGGCGAACGGTATATTGAGATTGAACGTGATGGCCAAACAGCGCGTCTCATCATTGACAAGGTCATGAAGCGTTCCTCCTGCATTGTTGGTCGAGCAACAACGTGTTGGAAAGCCCATTGGGAAGAAGACCCTGGACGCCGCTCGTTATCAAGGACTCCTGGCAGTACACGGACCGAGACGAAGAGGTATACTTGAAGAAGCGACTGAGAAAGGCGTCATCAATATTGCCCGATACTACCATCACGAGACCGTTCGCGTCCACGGTGCGGATGATGACGTCCAAAACAATGTTCGAAAGGGATTGGACATCACCAAAGCCACGAATTATCGACCAGGACGTGCGATGTTGCCGGCGGCGGCGCGTCCATTGTGTCGCGCAAACAGTTAAGCAGCGGCGCCGGCGTGAAGCGACCGTCCAGCGAAACTGACGCCGCTCTGCCGCCGAGCAAACGATCCGTTTCAACATCTCCGGTCAAGGCAAGCGTCAAAGCCCTGTCAAACCGTGTACACCGGCGGGTCATTCTTCGTGACTATGGAAAACCGATATACAATGCAAGTTCACCCGTGGCGCTACTTGCAGCGCTGGAGGAGCTGCATAAAGGTCACCAATCCTTGTATAAAGCGGGCTTTCTTCGCGAGAGACATCTCCATCAACAATCTCATGATCAATGAGGACGATGAAAACCCTCCCGGCGAGCTTTCCTGATCGACCTTGACCTCGCCATCAAAACTCAACGAGAAGGTGCTTCGGGAGCAAAAGGAAGGACGGTACAAGGGCATTCATGGCCATCGGAGCACTGCTGGGCAACGAGCAGCACTCTTTCATGCACGATCTTGAATCATTCTTCTGGGTCCTGTTCTGGATATGCATTCACTATGACGGCCCGAATAAAGATGTCGGATCAACTGAGTTTGACGATTGGAATTACCAGAACGACAAGCAGCTGGTTCGTTCCAAAAGGGCGTAATTGATGACGAAGACGATTTTCTCAAAACTGCGGAGGAAGTTTTCACACATACTACCATCCGTTAGTTCCATGGGTTAATAGATTGAGGAAGGTGTTTCCAAACGGTGAAAGGTGGAAGAAACCGGCGCGGAGCTGTATCAAACAATGCGGGACATTCTTCGTGAAGCACAGAAGGATAGGGGGTGACGGGCACGTATCCTGGAGCCACAGACGAACGATGAACATTTGTGCTCGCGATTGGCAAACAATGTCAACGACAGGTACTGGTGGTGATCAGTGAGCTTAGCCTTCCAGATTACCTCAATTCCTGTTTATTATATCACGCCCATAGCTCAACGATGGAAGAGGGCCAACGTCCTGTCTATTTTAAGGAGGTTAACCATCCACCACTTTCTACTATTCATCCACCAACAAAGGACGTATATGTGTGGCTGATCGCCGTAGATTACCACCACCAATTTGTATGTATGCGCTCCCGACTTCCATCTCTGAGCGCATAAGCAAGGTTGGCTACCTGCAAATTCAGCTGATACTGTCCACTAGGGTCGACTCGGTGATGGAGAGGCTGGCTGCGTGCGTCTTTTGGGGTGGGGCGCTTTGGCTGCGCGGGGTGGAGTGGAAGGTGCTTGCTCTTCCGCGAGTCGCCTCGTGATGATGGATTGGTTGGCAGTTGCGAGTGTGCGGTATATTGGTATTGGGTTTCACGGCGGCGGGTTCGGTCTTCACCGCGCTGGCGGTCCGTATCGTGCAAGACACGGAGGATCTCGTGGTGGGAACTCTGACAAGCTGAACGGTGCCGATGGGACCTCTCCGATTCGAGATCCCCAAGGTTCGCCGAACCTCTTCGGGTGAGACCGTGACTGGGTGTTCTCGCGGCATTCTGTACGGGGATGGCCAAGTGCGCAGCCCTCGAGCAGTGCGCAAACTGCCTCGGGCCACATTGCGCTGATGACCTAAATGCCCTGCCCGCCCCAAGCGCGTTCATGGCATTGTACGGCGCCTGACGAAAGAGGAGAAGGGTCTGATGAGGCAGGCGGGAGCTCAGCTCTTCGCGCAGCAGAAAGACAGACACCAAACCACAACGTGCCCGAGCAGTCTTGTCAGAGCCTGATTCAGATCGGTTACGTTCTTCAGAGTCGCAGGCGGCTGGAGAGGATGGAAGCTCCGGCGAAGCGCCACTCCAGGCAGCCGCTTCTCACCCGCTTGCATTGTCGTGGCCACGACGCCGCCGC